TTTTTTTTTTTTACTTATTCTTAGCCATTTAGCACTCTGATTTTCCCTAACATGACAGTGCACTCCAGCACAATTGGTTGCACCGATCCGCTGGGCATGAAATCCCGTCTCATCTCTGATGTGCAGCTTACAGCATCTAGCAGCTTCCGCACCTGGGGTATAGATGCCTTTACCTGGTATCCCTTCTATGCTCGCCTGGACAAACAAGGCAAGACTAACGCTTGGGCGGCAGCGAACAACAACCGCTCAGAGTGGCTCCAGGTGAGGCTGTGAGATGTTGTCTAACTTTTTTTTTCACAAAACTGTCAAAAATAGCCCTTGAAATCATACTAATTCAGTTATGCTATAAAACTATCATAAAATGCCATGCATAATCTATCTAAAGACAACAGCACGCCAACTTAGTAATTTTCACTAACCTATTTTTTAGCTTTGATATCAATTATTTTAATTGTGGACTGCATGTTTGTCTCTTATGTTTTAATGTGTTTTCTCTCATGTCACAGCTGGATTTGGAGAAACCTAAAAGAATCACAGGCATCATCACTCAGGGAGCAAAAGACTTTGGAGTTGTGCAGTTTGTTTCAGCCTTTAAGATTGCATATAGTGATGACGGACAATCTTGGAGCATGGTGAAGGATCAAATAACGAGAACAGATAAGGTTCCAGCAATGACGACCTCTTTATTTTAAATATACACTACTGTTCAAAAGCTTGGGGTCAGTAAGGAAGATATTGTAAGAAAGATTGGTTTAATGTTTTTGAGTATCTAATGCTTGACAAGGCTGATCAAAAATAGAAACTGTAAAAATATTTGATGTAATATTATTGCAATTTAAAATAACTTTTATATTTCAGTATATTTTAAAGTATAATTTATTCCTGGGATTTATTCCTTTTTTTCAGGATTATTTGCTGAAAAGAAAGTTCAAAAGGACATTATTTGTTTGAAATATATATTTTTGTAACAATGGGCAAGGATCAAGTTAAAGTATCCTTGCTGAATAAAATTATTAATTTCTTTAAAAAAAAACATTCCACTGGGAATGGTTAATTTCTTAGTCTTTTGTTTTGGGTGTAGGGTGCAACATCATATGGTTTTGTTTACTGGGTACAGTAAATCTCTCTGTATGAACTTGGAGCTCTACACTTAGGGATCTGGATACTCAGAGAAAATTAAAGAATTATCAAGCTACTAACTCCGCTTTAGTTACTTATATATAACAAAGGCCTCAAAGCACAGGTCTTGCATTCAGTTCTAGTCATTTCATCTGACTAATTTAAATGTTTTTTTCCCGCAGATTTTCCAAGGCAACATAGACAACAACACACACAAAAATAATTTGTTTGAGCCTCCGTTCTTTGCTCGATTTGTGCGGTTTCTGCCCTGGGAGTGGCATGAGCGGATAACTTTACGCATGGAGCTGCTGGGCTGTGATGATTAGCGGATGTGCTGAAGGCTGCACACTGCCTCTCTCTGCACTGCTTCCACCTGAAGTGTTTCTGCTGGTTGTAGGTGATGTTTCGTTTCAGTATACATTAGCCTCATCTGTAATGCTTTGTATTTTATTGTATCAATGTCACTATTTTGATGTTGTTTGAAAAGCTCAGTTGATCTAGTTGATCTCACCCAAAAGGATACTTTGAAGAATGTTGGTAACCAAACAGTTGAGAGTAGCCATTGACGTTCATAGTATTTGTTTCCATACTATGGAAGTCAATGGCAACAGTTGGGTTACCAACATTCTTCTAAATATCTTCTTTTGTGTTCAACAGCTGAAAGAAACTAATACAGGTTTAGAATAACTTGAGAAATTACATTTTTGGGTGTCAGAGAATATGTGACCCTGGACCACAAAACCAGTCTTAAGTCGATGGGGTA